GATCCATCTAACATCAGCTACAATATCCCTAGTACCACGACCCCTTCTAAACCCAGCCTGGACTTCTGGCAGTTCTCTGCTGATGTGCTGTTCTGGTCGTTTTTGGATAATTTTCAGTAGAATCTTGCTTGCATGTGAAATCAATGATATTGTTCTGTAGTTTCCTTCACATCAACGCCTCAGTTCAGCATGAAGAAGTCAGAGAGTCTGTGCCCCATTCCCAAATGAGAAACCCACAAGTGAATAAGACAGTTTGTTTAACCACCATTGGACTATGCTTACCTGCTTACCATTGCCCTATATCGTCTGGTCTCCACTGGATCTTTTTCATTTCCTTCACCTGCTCCCCATCCACCCACCAAATTGTGCATCCCTGCAACTGCATCCCTGAAATTTCTTCCCTACCCATCCTCACCCTTTTGCTCCCAACCCTCACCTCCTTGTATCCCCATACATGTTATTTACAATTAAAAAAAAAAAGAAATCATGAATTGGGTCAGATCCACCTCCATCTTTAAGCTGATATCTTTGCTCTTTAGAACTTTAAAGAGGCTCTTGATGACAGATTTTCCCAGTGCTACACAATCTTGATTTCTTAACTGTTGCCATCATGACTGTTGATTGCAGACCCAAGTAAAAGGAAATGCTTGATAATGTCAATCTTTTCCACTCTCTGTCATAATGTTACCTATTGGTCCAGTGGCAAAGATTTTTATTTTTTTTTATTTTGAGGTGTAATACATATTGAAGGCTGTAATCTCTATCCTTCTTCAGTAAATATTTCAAGTCTTCTTTACTTGCTTTAAGTAATATTGTGTCATCTGTATAAGACAGGTTGTTGGTGTGTCTTCTACCAGTCCTGATGACATACTCTTCTTCATATGGTGTAGTTTCTTGGATTACTTGTTTACATATAGATTAAGTCTAGAGTGAAATACAACCCTGATGTACACCTCTCCTGATTTTAAATGATACAGAAATCTGTTCAAATTATGTTTCTTGATTTATGTCCAGGTTTCACACAGGTACAATTACATGTCCTTGGATTTCTATTCTTCTCAATGTTACCCATAACTTATCCTCACAGTCAAATGCCTTTGTATAGTCAATAAACTAACTAGAACTGGTCCTTAAGAAGAGACAATTAGGACCAGTGAACAACCTCTCCTTGACAGAGCTGAGAACCATACATTGGACTTGGGGCTCATATTCTCAGGGATCTGGAATGTTGTGCACGCACCACCACTCCAGAAGCTTGCAGGACAGAATACATCTGGAGGGACTAACTGCCCACGCCCTTCATTTCCATAACTCTGTCCAGATGGGCTAGTCTGAGGAAAATCCCATCTTTCCTGAGAAAAGTGCTGATTATGTAAAGCTTTATTAGCTTTAAGGAAAGAATGAAGTCTTGCTGGTTTGTCCCCTCAGAGAAAACAGGGTCCTGAGTAACTATATTGTTCTGCTGTGGCCTGCTCTGCTTCTCTCTTTACTAAACTTTGTTTACATGAGGAATGGTGTATCCTTTCTTAAATCTTGATTAGACTTGACAGGCACCTTTAAAATCTGGGATGCCTGTACAGCATCACGTTGTTGTTGTTGTGTGCTGTTGAGTCACCAGCGCTAAACCCTGCTCTACCCCTTGCCAATATCACTGCCTCCAACAAACCCACACCTACTACTCCAGTCTCATTGAATCAATTCACCTCATAGAGGGTCTTCCTTTCCTGCGCTGTCCCTCCAATCTCCCAAGCATGGTATCCCTCTCCAAAGACTGGTCCCTCGCAACATGTTCAAAGTATGTCAGATGGATGCCTCTAAAAAGCATCCTGGTTTAATCCTCTCCAGGCTGAACCTGTTTGTTTTCCTATCAGCCCACGGTATATTCAATACTCTTCTCCAGTACCACAGCTCAAAGGCACCAATTCTCCTTTTATCGTCCCTAGTCATCATCCAGCTTTCTGATGCATAACAAGTCATTGCAAAGACCATGGCCTGCATCAAGTGCACCTTAGTCTCCAGAGTGACACCAAAGCTCTTCAATACTCTGGATCATACACCTGTTAAAAATGCAGCATTATAGCTCTTGGGAGTGGTAATGTGCCTGAACACTCTAAGGCACTGGATTTAGGTTCCAGACTCTTCTTGTGTGTGGGTTCAAATTCTATCGCTGCCGGGACAGTGTTTAGGGAGCTCTGGTCATTTAGTCAACAGGGAGCTGCATTGCTAATCTAAAAGCTGTGCCTTTCTGGTGGTTAAAATCCACTAACAGCTCCTTGGGAGAAAGATGGACAATATCCTGCTTTCAGTCCCAATGAGGGGTCAATGTTAAGGCTATTCTGACTTATTTCCCTTTTTTATTTATTGGAGATGCAACTTATTTCTTCAAGTTTTAGTATCTCATTTAGGAGCTCAGTTGTTACTGATTATTAAAATCCTGTTGATTTATTTGTGTTTATTTTGTAGCCTTTTAAAAATTTCTTATCTTTATACTGTGATGCATAATACAAGTAAGAATTTACTGAAAAGAAGTCTCAGTGTGCTATTGCGTGCCTCAGCTTTTCTTCTTTCTTAACAATTACAAGAATTAGTGTAGAAATAAAATCAGCCAACAGAAAAGCATACATAGTCTTCCTTTATGAATCTGACAGATTTGTAGAGAAGAGAAAACCCATGGAATAAAAAGCCAATAAAAGAGGTCTCAAAGCATTTCAATTTTGTCAAGTTATGATAACGAAGATCTATACGCTCTGGAAAGAAAACTCAGCCAGCCAAGGAGCAAATTTATTAGGTCATGCAGATAAATGTTTGTAAAAGATAAAAGAATGATGATAAAAAAAGACCAGAGATAAAAATCTGAAATTTTGATTTGCAGTGATATCAAGGTTGGGCAACAAGGAGGATCTTGGGTTTTATTCATTCAAAGTCTGTGAATTTGCAATTATCCTGTAAGTATGATGATCAGAGAAACAAAAGACACTGGAACGGATTCTCATGTAAAAGTAGAAATAAGGAGACTTAGAAATCCATTAGATGTGGATTCTCCAAAACAACCCTTCAGGAATGGGAGTAGGACAGGAAGTTTTTATCCACCCTACCAGAAACATTTGAATCAATTTAACTTACTCATTGTCTAATTTTCCATGTTGTTGTTGTCATGTGCCCTAAAGTCGCTTGCGACCCATAGCAACCCTAATGTACAATTGCTCTGAAGCTTGCCCTGTCCTGAGTCGGTCTCATTGACTCTGACAAACCTACCCATATTGCCCAAATTACTGTATCAATCCATCTCATCCAGGGTCTTCCTCTCCTGCACTGGCCCCATCCTTTTGAGCATGATGTCCTTCTCCAAGGACCAGTCTCTCCTGGCCACGTGCCCAAAGTGTGTGAGACAGAGCTTCAAAATCCTAGTCTCCAAGGAGAGACTTGGTTTCACTCTCTCCAAGACAGATATATTTGCTTTCTTGGTGATCCATGGTATATGTTCAGTACTCTTCAATTGTCCATAAAATATTTATACTCAACAGCATTCACAGTAAATATCTGGGACTTCTCTAAATAATAACATTATTAAATACACTAATCTATTTCAATCAATAGAAGAATCTTTCAGAGCAATAGTCAGCAGAAAAATCAGAAAAGACATTTTTAACAATGACTTCAAAGGGGTATTTAAGACTATTGGCTTCATAATTCATTTAACTGTGTGGATTATATCAAACTGTGACTGACTCTGAGAAAAATGGAAATCCCAGAACACTTGATCATGCTAATGAGAAACCTATACATGGACCAAGAGGCAGTCATCAGAACAGAGCAAGGAAACACTGCTTGGTTCAAAATTGGGAAGGGTGTATGCCAGGGATATGGCCTGTCTCCATACCTTTTCAACATGTATGCAGAACAGATTATCCGGAAGCTGGGCTCTATGAGGAGAAATGTGGGGTCAGGATTGGTGGAAGATCTATTAACAATCTGCGTTATGCAGATGACACAACCCTGCTTGCTGAAACTGAGGAGGACCTGAAGCGCTTGCTGCAGAGGGTCAAGGACTGCAGCCTACAATATGGATTGAGGCTCAATGTCAAGAAGACAAAGATTCTCACCACTGGACCAATTGGCAGCATCAGGATGGATGGTGAAGAGATTGAGATTGTTCACAGCTTTAGTTTGCTTGGCTCCACAGTCAACACTCTTGGTACCAGCAGCCAGGAAATTAAAAGACGTATTGCCATGGGAAGGTCTGCTGTTAGGAACCTCTCCAAAATACTGAAGAGAAATGGTGTTTCTCTGGAGACTAAGGTGCGTATGATACAGGCCATGGTCTTCGCAATCACCTGTTATGCATCAGAGAGTTGGACAATGACCAAGGAGGATAGAAGGAGAACTGATGCCTTTGAGCTGTGGTGCTGGAGAAGAGTATTGAGAATACCACGGACTGCTAGGAAAACAAATAGATTTGTCCTGGAGAGGGTTAAACCGGGTGGCTCCTTGGAGGCAAGGATTCTGAGGCTCTGTCTAACATTCTTTGTACCTGTTGTGAGGAGAGACCGGTCCTTAGAGAGGGACATCATGCTTGGGAGGGTGGAGGGACAGCGCAGGAGTTGAAGGCCCTCTATGAGGTGGATTGATTCAGTGACTGGGGTAATCGCGATGGGAGTGTCAGAGACAGTGTGATTGGCACAGGACAGCAGAGTTTAGGGCTGTTGTACATAGGGTCGCTATGAGTTGCAAGTGACTCGATGGCACCTAACAACAACAACAACAGCAACAACAACATTTTTTTTTCTTAAAACTTGATTGCTAAATTATGAAAAACCAAAAATTAATGGGTGGGCTGAATAATGGAATGACTATAGCTAAAGACCACTTTGGTAATTGAGAGAATCTAATTGAGGAATTCTCTCAGAAGAATGATATAAAAAGACAAAGAAAGAGAAAGTATATAATAAAAAGTTAAGGGATGTATTCCAAGCAATGGAATAGCTGGAATTGGCAATGGAATAGCAATGGAATAGTCCTATGGAATTTCTACATTTACCTTCTTGAGGAAATTACAAATTGCCTTCCAGAGTGGTTGTACCATTTTACAATCCCACCAACATGTATAAGAGTTCCTATCTCGCCACATCCTCTCCAAAGACTTATTACTTGCCACCCTCCTAAACTTTGCTACTGCTACTGGGGTAAGACAGATCTCATTGTGGTTTTGATTTGCATCTTCCTTATTGCCAGTAATCTGGAGAATTTCTTCATGTCTGTTGGCCATCCAAATGTTTTCCTCTGTGAAAAGTCTTTCTATGTCTTTTGGCCATGAGAACTGAGGTACAAACAGATACTTGTACACCAATGTTTATAGCAGTGTTATTATTCCCCATTGCAAGAACATGGAAACAGATCAAATGTCCAACCACAATGGAATGGATTGAGAAATTATGGTTCATTCACATGATGGAATACTATGCAGCATGCAGAAGCAAAGATTTTGTAAATTACTAACTAACTTGGGAGGGACTGAAGAGCATTATACTAAGTGAATTGAGTCCCATATGAACAAATACTTTATAAGATCATTATTGTAGAACATGTATAAGGATCCAGGGAGGGAGAAGGGAGAGGAGGGGTGAGGATAAGTGGTGTTAATCATAGGGTCACACAGTTGATGGGTACAGGGAGGTATAGGTAAAGGAAAGGAGAAAGTTCTGGCATGAAAAACAATGTACACAAACTTTGCAAGTAAACCAGTATATAGTAAAAATTTACTTAAAAGACGTTAAGGGAAATGAAATATAAAAAAATTGAAAACCTATCAAGTAGAAGTTCCAAAAAGACAGAATAAGAGAGTATGGAATGGAGACAATTTTCTAATAAATACAAGAGGAAGGAAACTGGGGAGCTCTGGTGGCCTAGTGGCAAGGAGCTGCAACTACAATCCCAGAGGCAAACAGTTCGAATCCACCAGATGCTCTGCCAGGGGAGGAGGGACAATCTCCTCCTGTACCAGTCAGA